ACTGCGCCCTTTAAGAGCTTTTGTATCCCCCGTTCTCTGCCTAAAGCACATCGGTGAGTCCTATTTCATCAAGAAATTTGATTAATAGGCCCGGTTTCAATGGTTGAAGGTCTTCTATGGTTACATTATACATCCCAAAACATTTCCTCCTGCGGGCTAATGTAGCTCCGCAGTTTGTAAGTAAATGTGTTGGTGTCTCTTCTGCCTCCTTGCAGAATCTGCATGTGCCATCTTGGATTGTTCCAATTTTCTTCAAGGGTCCATTTAATCTGCAGTGTCCTGTTAGGAATCCTGTTAGGATTCGCAGTCTGTTCCTCCTTCCTTTGACACATTCTGTGATTTCTTTCCTTCCAAAATTGGTTAGAAGATTCTTGGATTGTCTATGTCCAATGAGTGAATTCCATTGTTCCTTCATTTTATTTTTGTCCTTCTGTCTGAGATATTCGTTAATAGTTTGGATTCCTATGCCACAGAAGGGTTCGGGTCCTATCAGCGGTGTGGCAGCCCCTTTCCTTGCAAGGGTGTCCGCTTTCTAGTTGCCTTCTACTCCCCAGCAGAGGCTGACTTTTTTTTTGCATACCTAATATGTTTAATTTGGTTTTGCAGGTCAGCACCATCCTTGAACTAATGATACTTGATCATACGGCTTTGATGGCTGCTTGGCTATCTGGCATGATAGCTATATTCTTGTTTTTGTACCCTTTACTTAGATTGAATTGGGTACATCTTTCAGTTACATGAATCTCAGCTTGGAAGATACTGGTGTGTTTTCCCATGGGTTCTGAGTATTTGGTTCCGGGTCCAAATACTCCTGCCCCTGTACCTTCTTGTGTTCTAGATCCATTTGTGTACCAGAGGATGGTGCCATTTTTAAAGGAGTTATTTCCCTTTCTTTCCCATTCTTTTTTGGTACCCAGATATATTCGGAGTTTTTGGTTAAATTCAAATATCCTGTTCATGTCGTCTCTTGGAGCCATGAGTGATGGATGGTCTTTAAAAAATATGTGCTTTAATTGAAATATGATCTAGTTTATTAGAAAAAAACGTAAATCTAACGTCCTTGTAAATCTAACCCAAATTCACTAATCGTCATACTAAAGATTTTTAAAAATTTACAATTACAACAATTCACAAATCTTCAGTACGAATTTTTGTTTAAATTATATGTATCCAAATGCAGGATTCCTCGTACTACACATTTTGTAAATGTCAATGTTTAATTTAGATTTTTAAAAATTCACAAATCGACACACTACATATTTTTTCGGAAATTATATAAAAACACAAATCTTCATATTGCAGATTGTTGTTTCAATATTTTTTAAAGTATTTTTTCTATGTAAGGTTGGTTGAAATAAAAACGTTACTGTCACGATTTCATTTTAACCAAGACCTTACGTACAAAGAATAATTAATTGAAAGAAGTAGTATGGTCAATCAGACGACTAAACATAACGTTTTTTATGTATATTGGTAAAATTCGCAAATCATCGTACTATGAGTTTTGTAGGTTTTTCTTTTTTTAAATTATACTTACCGAAATTCACAAATCCTCACACTACAGAATTTGTCGGTCTTTTTTTTTAAATTTATGTTTATAAAAAGTCACATTCTCAAACTATGAAATGAAATGAAAATAAAAAATGTATTTTATTCATTATTATAATGTGTTACAACTGTAAATATAAAAATGAATGAAAGCACACTTGCCCGAAAAACGAGAAAAATGTTTTTTTATTATTATAATTTTTTAATTAACTAGCACATGAAACTATTATTCTTACTAAATTCTAACAATTTGTCCAAGGCATCTCATTAGTAACTTCTTGGGAACAACATAATAACATAATAAAAAACAGGGGATTAAACATAATATCAAGGGAAATAAAAACATCTTTAATACTTAAAATATGAATTCAATTCTTTCTTTTAACTCCAGGCTTCGTTAACAAAGTTTACTATGTTGAAACACTGATAATTTTTAATGAGGCGATTGTATATTCTCTTGTTAATGTGACCGACCTAAGTGTCTCAATTTGAAAAATGCCAGAATTTGACATTTTGCTATGAAATGGAGGTGTCTTCTCTGGTCTTTCGATTGAGTAGGGAAGACAAGTTGAGGAAATTATCTCTTGTTGGATTATAGTTAAGAGGAAGTAACTCATATCTAATTTTAAAAATCAGAAAGCAAACGGGACAGAGGAAATTTTAGCCCTCTCAGACATACTAAATAAGTTTCCATCAAGTGAAGATACCTTATACAAAAGGAATCTGGAAGACTTCAAGTGAAGACTTATCATGTGCTAGATGTTTATATTCGTGTACGGTCCGGATTCATTGAGTGAGTTTTGTAAAGAAAACTGGCCAATCTTCGACTTTATCCCGAGAAAATCAACATTCGGGTTGATGTTCAACTTGTCCCTCCAGGCGGAAGACTATGATATTTTGTGGCTAATAATTTCTGAGGCTGTTGTCTTTGGTAGTCGCTGATTGTGAAGATTTAGGACCCTATGCACATTGGAAATATGAAGCTTTAACGAATCTATAAAGATGAGATCTACCGAGGATTCCAGATAAATCATGTAGCTAGGGGTGTAAGGCGGTAGGCGAGAAAATTTTCGTACAAAGTAATGTTGAAGGGCTTCAATTATATCATACCATCTGCAGTGCCTCGCCTGACCAGCATATATTCAGTCAAATTTAGCTGTTTGGATTTTCCTTTTTAAATGAAGGTTAAGGGAAAGTTGGTGGGTGAAAATTTATGCCTAGATATTTATATTTGTTTACTATTTCTTTGGGCGTACCTTCGAAGTTCAAATCTCATGTTCAGCAAGCCTGCCACTTCTTCTAAAAACCATCATTTTGGACTTGCTGAGATTCTGAAAGATTCCAGTTGTCACAGTATGTCCGCAACGCATTGATATTTTTTACATTCACTAGTTTTCGTGGTCCGCTTGAACAATTAATTAAGGTTTTTAGTTGAGATAAAAAGTCAGAGTGACGAGGGGGATTCGAACCCCGACCTTTGGCTAAATACGCCGCTACTCTATCACTTGAGCTATTGTGACTTCAAGTTCACGAAAGGTCAAGTGGTAGAGTAGCGGCGTATCTAGCCGAAGGTCGTGGGTTCGAATCCCGCCTGTAGCACTGACTTTTTATCTCAACGAAAAACCTTGATTAATTGAAGGATATTTTTTACTTTGTATTTGGCGAGTCGACCAGGATTACAACATCGTAGGCTTATAAAAGATTCTTTCCACAGTGAATTCCTTATCCCAAACAATCAGGGAGATCATCCAGAAAGAGTGCAAACAATAACGGACTCAGTCTACACCCTGTCGAACACCCGACCCACGCCAAAATCCCTGCCTCTGTCTGCCCATTTGATATCCCTGACAAGAGATTTTAGTATGGCGAGGTTTTTACTGAACAAAAGCATACTTAAACTAGTTGATAAAATTTTACAAATCTTAATACTAAAGTTCACTATTTTCGTGGTCCGCTTGACCAATTAATACTTTACAATTAATTAAGGTTTTTAGTTGTGATGAAAAAAAGTTAATGGCACGTGAGGGATTCGAACCCACGACCTTCGGCTAGATACGCCGCCGCTCTACCATCTGAGCTATGGTGACCTCGATCCACTCGGACATCAACTCCCCATCTCAACCCCACGTATCTAGCCGAAGGTCGTGGGTTCGAATCCCTCTCGTACCATTAACTTTTTTTCATATCAACTAAAAACCTTAATTAATTGAAAAGCTTAATACTAAAGGTTTTATCCATCTTTTTAAAAATTATTTTTATCCTAATTCACAAATCCTCATACCACAGATTTTGTCATTGTTATGTTTAAAATTAGTATTAACAAATCACTACCGCGGTCGTGGGTTCGATTCCCACCTTTGCCCCTGGCCCTTTTTTCCCAATAACCCCCCAAATTTGAACTCACATATACGAATTTGTCACATGGCTAATATGCATAGTTCATAACGCCAAAAAAAAAAAAAAAAAAAAAAAAAAAAAAAAAAAAAAAAAAAAAAAAAAAAAAAAAAAAAAAATCACTAATCCTCACACTACAGATTTTACCCGTTATTTTTAATTTTTTTAAAAATAAACATGAACACATCGCCAAACTAGATTTTGTTGACTTTTTAAAATTTATATTTATAAAAATTCACAAATCCTTATGTTGCAGGTTTCATAAAGATTTTTTTAAAATGTACTTTTATTCAAACTCACAAATTCACTCACTACAGATTGTGTCGGTTTCTTAAATTTATATTTATTCAAATTCACAAGCCTCACAATATAGATAATATCGATTTTATGTTTTTACATTTATATTTATGAAAATTGATAAACTAGATTTTGTCAATTTTTGTTCAAATTTTATATTTATAAAATTTCACAAATCCTCATATAACATATTTCGTCGATAATTTTTTAAATTATTTTTTGTAATTTATATTTATAAAAAACCACAAATCTTTATACAACAAGTTTCATCGGATTTAAGAAAATGAACGATTGAATGTAAAGTTAAATTTGCAAGAGGCAGGGGCGTGGATAGTAAATATCGATTTAGCCGCAGGATGCGAGCTTGATGATTTAATAAACGACCGAGGATCTACAAAGTATGGAATTTTATTCAACCGCGTTCGGAAATGAACGTTGTCCTCGTAAATTTCAGTCAGTAATGTATGTAAAAGGGGTAAAGGAGTATAATTCTTCCACGCTCTAACTTTTAAATGGTTTTTCGGTCCACGGAACAAGGAGCACGATCGCAAACTTTAAACAAGCAAAACAGGGAAAAACTATAACTAAAACGGGAATTACAGTTTTCTAAAAATTTCAAAAAATAATTTAAGTTAAGTCTCCCGTTCGCGTACAATCATGGAGGATGCGTCATTATTTGCTGGGCCTCCTCAGAAAGTGGGAAATACGTGCAGAAAACACCATGACGTCAGGGTCATTTTCATGATCCCTCGATCCTGCGGATAGATCAGTCTGTATCTTATTTCGGACGGATCAACATGGTGTTCAAATTGGCGGCCATCGTCTCCGCTCTCGCTTTCGTCTTGCCGGCGGATTCGCAGAATATTTTCGGCATGGCAGAAGGTGTGTACATCCGTTTATATTCTTGTTATTTCGATTAAAATTTTGAAATTCTCAACACAATCGAACTATTTGTTGAATTGTCTAGAGCCGTAAAAAAAAGTGGAAAACTTCAATTTTTAAAATATTAATAATATTGTCAGCATTAACTAATCAGTCGTATTTACAAACCAACAACAAACCGTTTGGTTAATGTTTTAAATGAAATTCTGTAAAACTTTATATTTTTAAGTTGTGTTGATTTTTCCTCCTTGAACATAATAAAAGAAAAATTGTTTTCTATGCAAATTAATCTTAAATGTAACCAAATAATAAATTTTCTACTTTCATTGGACATTAAACGCAAATTACAGATCAATTATTAAACGTAGGTTTTACGTGAAAAATTGAACGTAGGATGTCATTTTACCATATTTCATAAATTAATTATATATACTTTAAATGCTTCAAGAAATTACTCATTCTTGGACGCATATTCCCAAAGAGAAATCTATGGAGAGTGATAGAGTGAGAGAGAGCAAAAGTGAGAGAGAAAGCGAGCTGAGTGATTGTTGAGTGATTATTGTTTTATTTACATTCATAGCGATTTGGTCAAAAGGGAAATCTAAAGAGATAGCGATAGATCGATAGGGAGAATGAGAGAGAGAGAGAGAGAGAGAGAGAGAGAGCGTGAGAAGGTAAGCGAGAGGGAGGGAGAGGGAATGATTAATAAAGATAAATTGATAGATATATGAATGAATAGATAGATATTTATAGACTGAGAAAAGAGAGAGGGAAAGAGAGAGAGAGAGAGAGAGAGAGAGAGAGAGCGAGAGAGGGAGAGAGAATAATTAAAAAAGAGAGAGATAAATTGATAGATACATGAATGAATAGATAGATATTTATAGAGTGAGAGAGGAGAGAGGTAAAGAGAGAGAGAGAGAGAGAGAGAGAGAGAGAGAGAGAGAGAGAGAGAGAGAAAGTGAGAGAGAAAACGAGCGACGAAGATTTATTGAGTGATTATTGTTTTATTTACATACATAGCGATTTGGTCAAAAGGGAAATCTAAAGAGATAGTGATAGATAGATAGAGAGAATGATAGAGAGAGAGAGAGAGAGAGAGAGAGAGAGAGAGAGAGAGAGAGAGAGAGAGAGAGAGAGAGCAAGAGAAAATAAGCGTGAGGGAGAGGGAATGATTAAGAAAGAGAAAGATAAATTGATAGATATATGAATTAATAGATAGATATTTATAGCCTGAGAGAGAGAAAGAGAGAGAGTGAGAGAGAGAGAGAGAGAAAGTGAGAAAGTGATAGAGAGAATAAGAGAGAGGGAGGTTGAGGGAATGATTAAGAAAGAGGGAGATAAATTGATAGATATATGAATGAATAGATAGATATTTATAGACTGGGAGGAGGGGTGGGAGCGGGAGGGGGGAAAGAGGGAGAGAGAGGGAGAGAGAGAGAGAGAGAGAGAGAGAGAAAATAAGCGTGAGGGAGAGGGAATGATTAAGAAAGAGAAAGATAAATTGATAGATATATGAATTAATAGATAGATATTTATAGCCTGAGAGAGAGAAAGAGAGAGAGTGAGAGAGAGAGAGAGAGAAAGTGAGAAAGTGATAGAGAGAATAAGAGAGAGGGAGGTTGAGGGAATGATTAAGAAAGAGGGAGATAAATTGATAGATATATGAATGAATAGATAGATATTTATAGACTGGGAGGAGGGGTGGGAGCGGGAGGGGGGAAAGAGAGAGAGAGAGAGAGAGAGAGAGAGAGAGAGAGAGAGAGAGAGTGAGAGAGAGTGAATGAGAGAGCGACGAAGATTTATTGAAGAATTATTGTTTTATTTATAGCCACAGCGATTTGGTCAACATTGACCTTTTTTAAATTGAAATCAGATATTTCATCTACGAAATGTTATGTATTCAATAATGCAACAAAAACATCATAGTATAGAATATGTTTGTACGACATACAGGGATGCAACTGCAGCCCAAAAAACCAACCATTGTATGTAAAAAATAACTTTAATAATGTATTGCTGTGTGCTCCCTTCTGCCAATCGTTTGTTTAAGAAATAAAATGTAACGAACCACAAATAATACTACGAAATTAACCTAACCTGTAACTAACAATCGGAAATGCCGTAGGATCTCAAGGTTTTTATGTTTTTGGAATGAAGGTTTTTAAATTTATCTGAAAGTTTATTCATTTCTATTATTTCAAACAATAGCAATAACGGTATTTAGTAATGTTTAATTTATTAACTAACTCATCTAATAACAAAAATATTTCTGTGCTAATGCTAATAACCTATAATGTAAACTAATAATTTCAATGTAGTTCAGCAGACAAAAATTTATTATATAATCGAAACTGCTTTCTTTTTAAAAATCATTAGCTGTTTTTAAGTTACAAGAATGCATTTTATAATTAAACTTAAATTAACTTTGTAATCATGATGATTATTCTTCAGTTTTCCGCAAGGCGATTCAGTAAATAGTCATTAAAAGAATCATTTTTTCGTAGGTTGAATCGAAGAGAACGTTGTCAAAATTGAATCGTTATTTACCTTGGCCTTTGCCTTTCTAATAAACACCCGCCAACCTCTAAAAGAAGGTTCTATTTCTTGAAAATAAATATTGCAAACTAAGCAACTAAACTAATAAGCAAACTATAAACGAACTGTTATGTTATTGCAATTACGTTTTTTACGTACAAGTTACACAGTTTTCATTAGTAGTCTAACCACAAAAAAATTGATTTGTTTGCAATGATTTTAATATTTTCAGAAATGAACACCTAGGAGAGTTTGGGATTTTATTTTTAATGCATTACAGATTATTAACAGCATCAAAGATTCAGTAAGTGATTGATAACTAATATAAACGAATAAACATCATATTTATTTAAATAAAACATTTCTTAAAGAGCCAGCGTAGGACGAAGTTAATTGGTGAGTTCTTGACTAAGAATATTATACAATCACACAGTTATGAAATTAATTTAATATTTTTTAAACAAATGATTCAGTGAGTTAAGTGAATTAATGAGCGAGTTAATAAGAAACTAGTACATTATAATAAACGTTTATTTACGAATTTAATTTATAAAAGTGTAAAAGTTCAGTTTAATAGTTTATTACAAAATTGATTTACTCAAGAGTGTTCGAGATTTATGTATTTTGTAGTGGCTTCTTCAGTAAATTTACTACTGTAGTAGTTCGAAGCAAGAGAAAAATATTTGCCTAAGAACTGATACCGCAAGTAAACTTGCATATTAGTTGATGTTATCGTGACGGTTTTCATACTAAATTAATTTGCATAATTATATGCTTTAGCCATCTTTTTATGGTTGAGTCGCTTTTAGATTCAAGGTTGGTTCAGTGAGATTACTCATAGGATCATTGGCGTGATTTCTCTTGAAGAGGATTTCGTTTTTCGTCAGGTTTGTATAAAAGACAGATTTTTTAATGACAAATAGATCTTTTTTCATTAATGAAAAGGGTTTCAATCTTTTTTTCTTCACGCCCGATATCTCTCCACTATTATTTTATTGATAGTAAGCCTATCTCGCAAGTATTTCGTCAAGATTGATCGTCATGGATAAGGTCTAATAAATGAAAAAGGCTTAAAAACTGGAGCAATTACGCCCTGGAGTTAAACTGCTGAAAAATGATTTCCACAGGAATTCGTGAGTTTTCCGTTTGGAAATACCTCGTAAGCGGATTGTTAGTTTATAGGTTTCTTTATGCGATATGTTGTTCGATTGGGATTTCCAGACTGGTTCAGGGGTCAAATTTTGAATTGCGGTTATCGTCATTACTCCTGGAATTGAGCGATGGCAAGGGTCAGTATGTCAGTGTTTTTGTACGCCTCGCTCCTATCTCTTTCCTAACCTCCACAGTTTTATCAAATCAATAATTTCATTTGTAAAATCAAACAGTCGTGTTAAAATTAAAATTTAAGACTAAGTGCTCATTAATATATTTATTTTTTACACGAACTTGCATTTATATCGTTTTTTTTAGGTCAAGTCTGCAAAACGGAGAGTGGAATAAATTCAATCTGCAGGCCTGCGATGGAATGCATGCATGTCGATTACAAGAAGGAAAGACCACCAATCTGCGGTTTCACCGGTGTTAACCCGATCGTCTGTTGCCCTCCTAAAAAAGAACGCTTGGCCGAAAAGAGTACGTATAATGTAAAAACTTTAAAAAAAGAAAAAATCTATTTGTCTATAAATTAGTTAAAAAATTTCAAGTCCTCGGATAAGGAAGCAAATTTTACACAGCAGATTATTTTTGAAGTACAATTGTAATGGAATTTTTTCTGACAATCCTCGTATTGCAGATAAATCATGACGAGTAGCGCTGCTACTCAAGGGGGGGGTAACATTTTTCATTAAATAACCCAATGTAAACGGCTATATGTGAGGTTAATGGTCAATTTTTTATAAAACTTGTCTGAATTTTTTGGAATAGTTTTTAAAATTGACTATATTTTGATGAGTCCTAAATAACCAGTTCGATTGTTAACAATTAGTAAGACATACAAAGACAACCTGGAAAAGGGTATTGATTTTTCAGAATCATAAATAATATTGAATAAATAAAATATATTCAAAACAGCGCTAAACTATTATGTATTGGGTTGTCCGGAAAATAATGCAGGATTTTAAGTTTTCATTAAAAAAAATCTATATAAAATATTCTGTTTACGTTTACAGGATTACTCATTTGTATGAATGTCAACACTTATTAATCCTCTTCCAAATGATATTGTTTGTTTACCTCTGTAGCATTCCGCTACTTGGAAATAATTCAGTCATCCTTATAATGTCAAAGCGAGAATTTCGTACGATTTTCTTTTACGAGTTTAAACTCGGCCGAAGCGGAGCCCAAACGGCTAGAAACATTAACCAAGTCTGGGGCGAGGGTTGTGTTAATGAGTGCACTGTGCAAAGGTGGTTTAAAAAATTTCGGGAGGGAGATTTCAGCCTTGAAGATGAAGAAGGTCGTGGAAGGCCTTCCTCTCTTAATGATGATGTTCTGCGATCAGTGGTGGAAGAAAACCCCAAAACAACTGTTCGAGAACTTGCAGAGCAACTCAAAGTCAGTAAAACGACCGTCGCTGACCACCTCAAGGCGATTGGAAAAGTGAAAAAACTCGAAAATTGGGTTCCACACTCATTAAACGATCGCCAAAAAAATCAGCGCTTTGATGTTTGTGCATCACTTCTTTGTCGAAACAAAAATGACCCATTTCTGGCCAGAATTGTTACATGTGACGAAAAGTGGATTCTCTACGATAACACTAGACGTTCTGGACAGTGGCTCGACAAAGGAGAAGCTCCAAAGCCCCCAACTCATCAAAAAAAGGTAATGGTTACGGTATGGTGGGCTTCATTTGGTTTAATACACTACAGCTTCTTAAATCCTGGCGAAACCATCAATGCTGAATCATACTGTAACCAAATTAATACCATGCATCAGAAATTGGCAGTAATGAAGCCCTCTTTGGTCAATCGGAAAGGGCCCATTTTGTTGCATGACAACGCTCGACCACATGTGTCACGTGTAACGTCACAAAAATTATTGGAGCTTGGCTATGAAACTTTGCCTCACCCACCCTACTCTCCGGACCTCTCGCCTACTGACTACCATTTTTTTAGACACCTGGACCACTACTTACAACACATAATATTCAAAAATCAAACGGAACTGGAAAATGCATTTATTGACTTTATCAATTCTAAAAATTCTGAATTCTACTCAGACGGAATTAATAAGTTACCAACACGTTGGGAGAAATGTATTGAGAGTATGGGAAATTATTTTGATTAAAGAACATTGCTTTAAAGTAACTAGTTTCTTTTTTTTTGTTTAATACCAAAATCCTGCATTATTTTCCGGACAACCCAATATTTATTTGGTTTTAATTAATCTATGAACCTTAAAGATTATTTTTTATCGAATGATTTCAATTGCGTCTGAAGATCAATAAAAGGATCGTGTTGAACCAAGGTCAATAATTCAAAAAATCTTCTCTAGAACAAACTGCTCAATCCGATTTGTCTTTCTGAAAAATAGCAAAATACTTCATGAATTAAAAAAAGCTCAGCTCAAATTACATGCTGAAGGTTTCCAGTCGTCCACACTTAGTTTCAACTACGGATTTCAGTTTGAAAACAGTTCACGATTCCTCCTTGTCGGCTTTTGCAACTTTCGCTCATTGAAAATTTTGAAAAAAGATTGAGACCAGCTTCCACTCTTGGCTGATTTAATCACTTTCCTATTTTTCTCAAGCGTTGTTGATAATAGTAGTAATAATGTGGGAATATTATGGGCCGACATACAGCTGAGGTTATCGCCGGCCCTCTGTGGGTTCTTAATATTTCTAATTTTTTCATACTGCAGCCATTTTATCGTCTCGATTTGTCACTGTTTCTCTGCTTTTTTTAATGAAAACTAAGTCTGTATCCTAAAATGTTAGTCTCCAATTTGTACCTGAGGTTGTCAACTACAGAATAGACACAAAACATATGTATACCTATGTATACATCATATGTATTATTATATGTATACATCATCATCCTTTAGAACCAAAGGAGTCTGGTCACATTTACTCCCCCAGAGTACTCGATGTTCCTCAGGGCGGGGTTTAACCTACTTCATTCTCGCTAATAAATTACTTTTAGTCTCCAGACTTCACACATTCTTTCAACTATTAGTACTTGATAATCCTCAGGACCGTCCCTACGCCTTATTATTTTCAATAAAAATTCTCAGATAAAGTAGTTTAAACACAATGAAAAAAAATCACACATAATCACATGCACAACTATAATTGTCAAGCCTAAACGCACCACAATACATCCAAAAACATTCAATTCATAATTGTTTATGCAACCAAATGTATTCGCGACTACCTAATTATGTGAAGCATATTCGCAAGAGCGCCGGGTTTGCCATATCTGAGAGTTAAATATGTCGAGTCGTTCGTTCAGTTAATTGCCATGATAATTGGTCATTTTTAAATTAAAACTCACTCCAGCTCTTCCAGTAATTAATTGCAGAGGACATAGCATATCAATGGAGTCGATGTAGAACACAAGCAGATGTTTCAGTGATGACCTGTTATTTTGAATAAATATAGAAAACGATATTTCATTACATTAAGCATAAATTTTTAATTTATTACAATGGACATACAAAAAATACTAGTTTTCTTTTCTGACCAGATAGATAAAAAATAAATTAGCACTTTATTAGAAAAATAAGTCTTTAAAAAAAAATGTTAAGTTAACATCTAACTAAAAATATTAGACTATCATAAAATTATTCTACATGCTTTACAGTATCGATAATCGTAGCACAAATAAGAGCATCGGTTAAACAATTATAATTAAGTTTAACGCCAATAAATTAACATAAAAGAAAAATATTGAGGTTTCGTTTGTATAGTTATGTTGAACAACGTGCTTAATTGTGTTACAACTTACTATTCCACTAATTCTCTCGATTGATGGAAATGTGAACATGACTAAACAAACCAGATATATACAATACTTCAATAAACCTAACATGGACTTTTGGACTTCAACTTTGAGGTTCAACTTACCGTTAAATAATTATTCAGAAATCGTGAGATGCGGTCTGGTGTGATGTAGGTTTCAGAAAAACATTTTCTTTATCGTGCCAACGTTTCGATCTTTATTGAAATCATCTTCAGGGCTCCAAGTGTTTGTCTTCTGTGTAATTGTGCCATTCTTGCGTGTCGTGTTGAGAGTGCCACACATCATTTTCAAAATTTACTTTTTTACTAATTACTAATTTTTACTACTTTATTTGATTATAAATGAAGTTTCCAACTAACTAAATTATTACGTTTTAGAACTGTATAAATATTAAAATATATTCTGTTTAATAATAAAATTTCCTTTTTTGACAATGAACATTACATAAACATAATTGCGAAATTCTCTCAAACAGACTCGAGAGATGGTTTTTAGAGTAAAATTTGACCACCTTTAGAATATGGTGCATTTTTAGACGCAACACATAAATTGAAAATACATTACATCATTTCTTATTTTTATTTGAGCTTTATTTATTTATTTAATAACAGAATGATTTTTTTGTTTGGCGAAATCTTTTTGAAGAAACCGAAAAATCATTTTAATGATAATTAAAGAAAATTCCACTACAGTCCATATAATCAGGCGGCATTGATTTTCCAACATTGTGTCGAGAAATGTCCTGCCATCCATATTACTTCTTAAATATAACAAATGAGATAAGGAAAAAGAGATATAAACTGCATACAGATTTTACACTGTACGTAAAATAATGTATGCTGATATTGAACAATGCTGTATTTGACGCAAAATAATTTAATGTCAAATACAAAGCTATCTATCAGCAAAGGTGAATTACAGTGTAATTACATTTTTGAATTTTTGTAAATTAAATGAGGTTAACATTTTAAAATGAGAACAAGAAGTATCGAAACAGGAAAATATTAGTGCTCTTTTTTGACCGGTTGCGATATTTGTTTCGTAATTTAAAAATTTATTAAAATTATTTTTTCAAATTTCTACAAAAAATAAAGAAATTAATGTGTCAAATGAAATGCCCGTTGAATGACTGGAAAGAAGGGTCAAACTAGTTTAAAATACTTTTTTTTAGGTTTTTTTTTACAATGGAGTTACTAATAATACTAACAATAAAGACACAATAATTTTATACTTCAAATTACACTATTCATCACGACCTACGGATCCCGTTGTACCTGCTCAATACCCGACATAAAAAATTTCATAAATCACTGAACATTCAAAATAATATACTACTATGGCAGTTACCACTTCCGTTCTCAACACGACACGCAAGAATGGCATAAATACATAGAAGGCAAACACTTTGAGCCCTGAAGATGATCTCAATAAAGATCGAAACGTTGGCACTATAAAGAAAATGTTTTTCTGAAACCTACATCCCACCAGACCGCATCTCACGATTTCTGAATAATTATCGATTAACGGTCACTAATCCCCACACATTTCTAAACGTTAAATTGTGGTTTTCCAGTTCGAAAGAGATAATTAAAAAACAAAATTTTGTTTTATTATAAAATAAAGTTTTATTCTTAAACTACAACCTGCTTTCTTAGGCCTAGTACGCACTGGGAG